CAACATTATAAAAATCCCTCTCCACTCCCCAGAATCTCCCCCCCCCTTTAAAATCCAGTAACCCTAAGGCAGAGGTGTCGAACTCATTTGTTACGTGGGTCGGATCTGACATAAATGTCACTTTGTTGGACCGGGCCATACATGCTATAAAATGTAACATGAGGTACCAGAGGTATAAACGTTATAAAGATGATTTCAGATGCTGAATGGCAATAGCAGGCATGATTGGATTAGGTGTGATATGCAAAGGGGACGTAGGTGTGAAGATATCATCACTGGTAATGAGACAGGAACCCTAGGTCTCAATTCTATACAGGAGGATTCAGTCCAGGAGGATGGACATAAGTCTGACATCAGAAACCACAACATTCAGTTGCTGACCAAAGAGTAGCAGTGCTCTTACAAAGGAATATCAAAGGGAGATTAGAAAGAGAGACAGCTGAATTGCAATTGATAATGAAGTTCAAGACAATGCATCAATCTGGACTGAACTGAGACCTAGTTTTCTTGTCTCATTACCAATGTGTGCTATTACAATTTGGCATCTGAGATCACTCCACTTTCTAAGATAATGACAAATTCAAGTGTTCTGATTCCTAATCAGGGTCTCTTTGAAAGAAAATAAATCCAGATAGGAACAGACAAATCCAATCCTTAAAAAAAAACTTTTCAGAATAAGCCAAAATAATTTCCTCAATATACACTGTGCTTGCCAGAAGAATCCATCCTCCCTCCAAAGAAGTGTGTTTGCACACAAAAGCTTATACCTGGAATAAAACACTGATTGTCTTAAAGCTGGGACTCCAATTTTGTTTCCCCCCCTCTTTTTCTCCCCCCCCCCAAGAGGAGCAGCAGCCCCCGATAAGAAAGCAGAAGCTGTGTGTGTGAGAGAGAGAGAGTGAGAGTGAGAGAGAGGGGGGAGAGGGAGGGGCAGGTAGGCAGGCTTGTATTTGTATCTGTCTGGCACAAAGCAGCCAGGAGTCTCTCTCTCTCTCTCTCTCTGTATGTGTGTGTGTGAGAGAGAGAGCGAGCATGCGCATAAGGGGGGAGGGAGGCAAGAGAAAGGAAACAGGAAGCAAAGAGCCACTGAGAGGGGGGGGGAAGCAAGGTAGGGTGGCAGCTGCAGAAGCAGCCCTGGGAAAGGAAGCAGGAGAAGGAAGTTGCTGGGGGACTGGTTTTGAGACCTGTGTGGGCTGCGGGCCACACATTTGACACCCCTGCTCTAAGGTGCTTGAGCCAACTGATTCTTCCAAACTCCTTTTTCCCCTTCAACTGATGCTTCATTGCTCACAGCCATCTCTCTTTGTGTTTTTTCTCTCCTCATCAGGCCAGATTTTAAGAGTTTTTCCTTTAGTCAATATACAAAGTCATGTTTTCCTGGATACTTGGAGATTTTCTTACCTTGTATAAGTACGTGCGTGTGCACGCACACCCCTATGTATATATCTCTCACCCCATGGATTTGTTAGGTGAAGTTTTCTGTTTCTCTATTCAGCCTTCTAGTAAAGGTTGGTGCAAAAGGTTTTCTCACCTTCTCTTTCTTTTTTCCAAGTACTTTTATTTAAAAAATGTTATATTCCTTCTTTCAGCCTAAAAACTTTGAAGTAGTGTTAAGGAAGTACACCTTGTGTTTTGTTTGAGAATTAAGGATCATTTTACATCTTATTTTAATTTAATTAGGGATCATTTTACATCTTATTTTAATTTAATTACTACTGTCTTGAATCTTGGGTAATTGTAGTGGTTTTCTATAGTTGCTGCATGTTCCACATTGTTCTTTGAAGGCTTTTCCATTCTTGTTTCTCTGTCGTCAAAATAACAGCTGTTGACAGCAGGCTGCTGATTCCTGACAGTCTCTAGGGATGGGTAATAATGATATTAAAGTTTCCCTTGCATTTGTTGGGCCTTTCAAACCCTTCATCCAGTTGTCACGCTCTCCCATCAGTGGAGATATGGGGTGGAAAATTTTCTGTTGCTTGAACTCATGTTATGAATTCAGCTGTCTAGGTCAAATCAAAGTAAAGGCTAAAATTCACATTTCGTTTGACTACAAGAGACAGCAAACCAAAAACTGTGATGAATTTTTCTTTCACTTTCAGTGAGCACACAAAACAATGTTTTGTCTCTTCTTTGAGCTGGGGAAGCTGGAAGTGGTTGCCTAAGATACTTGTGAATGGAATTGGAAAGACTTTCAGCTCAGTCCAGACAAAGGAACAAATGATCGTACTGATAAACTTGCCTTTACTTCTCAAAGAATCAGTCACAAGCACAATCGTGAAAAAAACGAAGTGTGATAAGTTGACTTATTGGTAACATCATAGACTTATTGGTAACATCATCCTTTAGCAAAACAGACTGCAGATCAAGTAGTTTTGAATCATATTTGCCTCAGTCTGGTATGGAACTTGTAAGAGATGACAGAGAAACTGAGATGCTGCAGTGACCTCTGTAGAGGAGAATGAGGTCAACAAGGCCTATGTTATTATTTGGATGTGTTAAAATCAATGTGTCAACAGGGTTTTTGGGTAAATGCAAACAAATATAAGGGAATTACATGCTATATGGTCTTTAGAAGTAATTATCTGCAATAACGATTTCCACATAAAGTTCTGAATTTGTTTGAATCTACCACTTAAACGATTATTAAAAAATAGTAATTAGTTATTTCAGTTGAAGTATTTGTTGTTGTTGGGCTATAAAATTAACATGGGGTGCTTTTTAAAAAAATCAACTAAATATAAGTCAAAATTCAGCATGATCAGATTTAGCATATTTATTTAGGGCATCAGGAAATTCCCACGTTCAAAGTTTTTTTGGAAAACCCACTTTGCTGATGGTCTATGTGAATGACTGTCATACTGCTTATCAGTACACTTCATAAACAGAACTGTCACTTAGCTACTGCAAGACTGACACTGCATCAGTGTCACAATAGAGTACCCATGTACCATTCCATGCTTGAAGCAATGAAAGCTTTGAGTATATTAGAATATTTTCATTGAAAGTAACTTAAAAATCTGCATTGATCTAACTGCTTGTATCTCTGAATGTTTTCAGCTGTCTTTAGCCTTTGGACTATTGTATGTGAAATATTTTTTCTCTGGACCTATGCTATATAAACTCAGCAGTATGGAAGGCTGTTTCATGCATGTGATGAAGTGAGTTGTAGCCCACAAAAAGCATGGTACAATAGATCTGTTAATCTTCAAGGCACCACATGACGCTTAGTTGTAACAATTAATGATGTAATAGTCGAACTTCAGAATTCTCTTAAGGTGAGCAGGCCCTTAAGGTGTGTGTAGTTGGTATGAGTTAACCAAGATCCTTCCTAGCCCACAGGCCAAATGCTGCCATTCCCTATGTCTTGGCAGAGCCACAAGGTATATTATGAACCTATTTTATCAATAAAGCAGATAGTAGGTGAGTTGGGTGGAGGAAAACCAATGCAGTATTTCTTGCATCTTTGCTGGTAATGTTTGTTTCAGTAGGATCCCACTCTTGAGATCCCAGTGCAATCAGTAGACTATTTTGACTGTGTTACTTGTGTGTGTGTGGTTCCGTGAAGGGAAAGAAGATCTGTTTGATTTATTTTTGCCTACCAGTGGTTCCTTGCACTTTGGAGTACTGAACCTATAAAATACTCTGTGATTGTTTGTAGAAGACACTTCCCATAAAAAATTGGGAGACCTTTCCCCCATAATGTATTTAGAAGTGTGTGAGAAATGGAAACTGGGAGAAAAGTGCCTATCTTTCAAGACTCCCCCAATAAACTGAAGAGGGGGGGACTATTAACATAATGGCATGCCAATAATCAGAATGGGGATTGGGACTTTTGGGATTTTGTCTTGCCCACTCTTAATGTGACAGCCATTTAAGACCAGATGCCCTGTGACAGAGCGCGAAGCAAGCCAAGTGAAAACACCACAGTACACCTTCTCCTGGACCAGCTGGGCTGATCCTCCACTACCATAGCAGTTGTGTGAGACCAAGTGCCCAGTGACAAAAAGCCATGAGAGTGGAGACAGTGGCAGGAAAAGAAACACACGGTTTCCTGGTTCATTTGGATTGCCCTCCAAACAGATGTGGTTTTACTATTTTGTAATGAGCCTTCTTTCTGCAGATATTTTAAGCTGCTTTAGGGATTCAGGGGGGGAAAGTGAGATACAAATTCAATAAGTGAATGGTGTCATAGACTGCAGTTTATTTAATCTGTCATCTACCCCCCCCCCCTTTACCTGTGTAACTCTGACCAGATCCCATGTTTGATAGTGCAATCTTGTGCATACTTCCCTAGAAGTAAGACCCTTTGAACACAATGGGATTTATGTCTGAATAGATATGCATAGGAACTGGCACATTAATCACTCCAGATGTGATTGGAACCAAGATATTCACTTTTTCCTTATAGGTATTTCATTAAGACAAAGCTAAGACAGTTGAAGTTACAGTATTGCATATAACTGGCTCCACAGACTACAATCAACTATAATAATATAGACTGGGAGCATGACTTATGAGTGGTGGTAGTGTCAGTGTGGCAACAGGTTTGGTGTCTGCCATGCCACTTTATAAATAGAGACTTTTCAGTTGATTCACTTTTTCTAAATGCCCTCTTCCCTCTACAAAAAGTTATAAGCACAAATTGATAGCTATAGTTCAGAATATTCTGGTGAAAAATTAGGAAGTCTCATAATTTAGCTAATGTATTAAAGTATTTGTGTTGTATTTGCCATAAAGACTGCAAGTGTGGATGTCAGTTCAGTTGTATTACTACTACTGGTTAGTATATCCCAGCAGTATCGACCTTGGTCAAGTCTTATTAGCTATGAAATAAACTTTTCTCTTATCAACTAAGCTATCCTGTTACCAGTTAATTTAATTAGCAGCAAGACCATGGGCATTTTGTTGCAACATACTAAAACAGCTGGCTTTCTGGAGATAGTCCAATTGGCTGTCTGTTGTCTTAAGGGCACTTAAGTATATTTTTAATACTTTCCCAGCTCGAGATGCTGATGAGAGAGAGAAATGGATTCATGCTTTAGAGGAAACCATCCTTCGTCATACACTTCAGCTTCAAGTAAGTTTATTTGCAATCTGCTTTGGGTTACTTTCAGAAGTCTGTCTGAGATAACCTTATCAAAATGATGAATGTATTTTAACATAGAATGGCTTATGTGTTATAAAATATGGCCCATGTTGATTATCCAGCAAAACTGAATAAAATATGACCTTCTAATAGAGGCTTAATGTGTAGAGATGGGAAGCAGCTTTTCATGACATGGAAGTAAATATGACCTAACATAGAGTCTCTATTAAATACATTTTCTCCTCCAGCCTGTTGGCAACCCTAAGCACTGCAGACCAGCTTACATTAGGTTTTGTACAAGCTGATATTGTGTGATAGGCTGTATCCACTCAGCTGCCATTTTGTGACTGCTAGCTTCCATGGCTCTTGAGGGGGAGGGGAAGCTCCCAGAAATACAGTCTGCCCCTTGCCTGATATTGGTGCTACTATAGCTTAACTCCATGGGGAAATACAATTTAGTGAAAACTCCTTGGTTGCAAAGCAGCTTGTAAATATGACTGTAGCATCTGCCCAACATCTAAAAATGTTTCTTTTTTACTTTTTAAAAATTATACTGCTCTTAATGCTGATTTCATAGAAATAAAACAGCTGGGTCCCTGCAACTATGATTACACGATTTTAAATCATTGCTGTTTTATATAGCATGTTAACAGGAGGGGAATTGGGCAGGCGGTTGGACTAGATGGTCTCTATGGTCCCTCCCAACTCTATCATTCTATAAATTAAAATGTAACATCCTGTTTTGATCTTCCTGGTGTTTTTGCTTGGAAACAAGCATTTTTTACTTGATTGCCCAGTTGCTGACCTAATATTGGGAAGACAAGGTTGCATCTTTGTGTAAATAAGCAGTGGACATTTGAAGCAACTTTCTGGTCTGTTTAAATTTTCAGTGTTATGCTAAGCACACTGTTTGATCCTAACTTTGTTTAGAAGTTCTGTTGATTTCAATTAGATTTAATTCCAAATAAACCCGTTTAGGATGGCAGCTTTACAATTATAAAGATCCTTACATTTTGTCTTAGTAGTGATGATGTCTGTGTGTAGTATTGTGGCTTCCTATGTACTCATTGAAGTGAAACCTTGTCGAGGACGAGGTGGAGAGTAGGGAAGTTAACTCAGACTAAACCAAAACCAGGCAAGTACGCTGTAGCCAGCCAATAAGGAGGAAGTTGTTGGAGGCCTTTCAGATAAACTAGGGGGCGTATGAAATCTGTGAATGAACGTGGCCGCTATGGCATTGTTTGATGCTCCAAACAGATGACTGTTGCTGTAGATGGCGGCGGCGTTAGTAATTGCTCAAGCGGCTGCGTGCGATGCCTTGTTTGCCAACAAGGCTTGCCTTTCCGCTCCTGAGCTGCTGGTGTAGCTCCGCCCGATTTATCGGCACCCGTGAGTGCAGAGTTATGCCAGCTCTTGGCCTAAAGGGGGAAGCCGGAAGTGTCCTTTATGGCGTGTTGGAAGGAAGCAGTTGGGGTTTGTTTTGTTTCTGTCTCTGAGCCCCGTTTCTCGCGCGACCCTCCCATCTCACCGCTGCTCGGATTGGGAGGGGTGACGATTGGGCGGGGAGGCACCTGACTCATAGCCAATAGGAAGTCACCTTGGTGTAGAGGCCAACTCTGTGTGAGCAGCGAGTCTGCGGCGCGGCTTCCCTGCGGGCAGGGGGCCCGCTCTAGGACAGACCTCTTCTGGCTCCGTGATGGGCAGGGGGAAGCATGGCTAGCGTGAGTAGGACCGATCCTGGGGTGGCGTAGCGTCGAAACTGGCAGGATAGGGCGCTCTAAACATTCGCCGGCCTGCTCTGCGAAGGCCAGCCCGGACTCCTGGTTCCCACGTCAGTCGAAGGGGGAAGCGGTGCTTTGTCCCCCTGCCCCGCAGTCCCGGCAGGCGGGCAGTTGAACCTTGGGAAATAATGCCCATATGACCCGATCTGGTGTCTACTTCACTTATCTAGCAGTCTAGGAAGTGAGCGCGTCACGGCTGAGGAGCCGTGTGCGTGTGCGAGCCATCTGGGTTGGGGTTATGGCGGGGGGAGGGTGATTTTTTTTAAAAAAAAAGTAGGACGGCTTCAGTTGAGTGTTAGTGGTGAACAGGCCAATTATTGCCGTTGATCTGTGTCTAGAAATTAATTTGTTGAAGCCCTGCGCTGATTTAAGCTCCTCAAGCGCGAAACAGACAGTCGATAAAAGGCACTGATTTGTAAGGAAAGCCCCTTTTTATTTAAGTGATGGGAAAGTAAGGTTTCTCTGAAGACATTTCATTAATGAGTATAGCACTTTGTGGTAAACTGAGTTGTGCTGGCGGCAGAATAAAGATGCTGTGTAGCCCACCGATGCAGATATTGAGAAAGTATTGATTATTGGTAAGTGGCTAAAGGAATTGGGGTCACAGTTTAATTCAGTACAATGATCGCTATACACCCGATTAAGGAGAGATATATGGTGGGAACCATACTTCCCCAGTAACTCTTAAGCACACATCTCTATGGCCAGTGGTGCTTCTGATCTTGTAGAGAATCTTCATCTGCAACTATTCTCATTTGGTATGTCATTGCATTTCTGTGGAGATTGATAATATGGACCTGGTGAGAAGTAAGGCTGTATAGCCCCTATAAGGTATCTAATGTGTCTTGAAGACTGGTTAGGTTAAAATAGCTGTCTGTTTTTGATAACTTGCATTACACTTGATTGCTTGTGGTGGCCAAAAGACTACATAGGAGAACACATCACAGTGCATTTCAGTGATATTCTATAGGGGATATTTCTATGGCAATTGGTGGGAGAGAGGAACAGTTGAAACATTTGAAAAATCTTTTATGTGGCTGTTTATTTACTTAAAATTGATGCCACTTCTTCAGATACCTGCTTGAGGGGGCTTACAAAATAAAACAGAGACTGTAAACATAGAATCATTCACCACATCTTGCTAGTACTTCAGAATATATATTGCATTCCAACGGCTGTTCTGTGACCTTTTTAAAATAATGTTAACTAATTTGATCTCATCTGGTTTGTGCTCCCGTGAATTTCTGGCTTATGCCATATTTCTTGCAAAGATTCCATTGCAATATACCTGCAATTCTATTGTGATGTTCTTTATAGTATCTTTGCATCTGCGGTTTTAAAAATCTTATAATATACATAGCATTATGCAAACGCTAGATATTTTTTTTAAAGAAAAGCCATGACACAGTCCGAACAAATTGAAGGACTTTTAAGTCTCCCTGCTTTAAGTGGAAGAGTGAGTTTCAAGATGACCTGTACCATTAAAGCTAATGAAACTTAAAGCTGTTTGGATTATAAACCCCTTATAAAATAATACCCATTTGCGAAAAACAGCTGCAGCATAATATGGTACATTGTGTGACCTTGATTATTTATTTTAGCTGCATTTGTTTAGGTACTTAATGTCATTCTATGAATATATTGTAGAAACGTTGCATATATTTTACTAGAGGCTCACCATTGCTTGCTGTGGGAAGCAAGGTAGCCAGTAGAAGGGGGGAAGTGACAGCTAAGATACAGAAAACTTGTTTGGATGCTGCTACTCCTTAAATCTTACACTACATCTTGCTTCTTTTAAATAACTACAGGGCTGCCAGTTTGCTTGAGGTTCAAGGTGCTGGTTATGACCTTTGAAATCCTTCATGGCCTACACATCTGAAGGACTTTTTAAAAATTATACTGCACATCTGAAGGACCATCTCTCCCACATGTCCCTGTGTTTGTTATAGTCCTCTAGCTGCCCTCCCCCCATAAGGTTATCTACCTATTATGTACCAGATCCTGTTCCTTTCTAGTAGTGGTTCCCACTTGGTGGAATGGTCTCACTAAGGAGGTGAGCAAGACAAGTTTGTAGGAGATACTCTGGGATTGTTAGGGCTTTTACTGGTGTATGAGCTTCAGGCACTGGGGGGGAGTTAATGGGGTTTTATTTTATTATTGATTATTTTGTGTAGAACTGTAAGCCACCAGGAGCTATAAGGGAAAGAAGGGATATCAATATGTTGTTAAATAGCATAAATACAGTTTAGCATAGCGTATGCATTAGAATCAGTTGAAGTCATACTGAATTCATTGGACTTAATGTGTGGCTTATCATACAATTATTTAAAACTTTTTGATACTGCCTTTCCACCTAATTCATGGTCACCAAGGCAACAAACAGTAAAACATATCAGACACTGAAAAGAATTTAAAATATGAAATATTTAAAACAATTACAACACAAACATGCAAAGACAGAGGAGGAAGGCTAATAAGAGTTAGTGAGGGAATCCCAAACAAAGCAAGCAAGTCTTCACTTATGGTGGAAGACAACAATAGGGGGAAAGACAAACCTCC